TTACTTAAAAAAAAGGAAAGGAAAAAATAGGATGCCCAAAGTATACAATATGTTTGTGTAATATAATATAGTCTAATCACAAATATATTTTGAAGGAAAGGTTATTTAAAACTGTTCTACCTTACCGTCCCTTCCAAGAGAAATAAATTAAAATTTTAATGCATTCAAATCTAGCTGTTTTTAACTAGGTATCAGGTGGGTCCATGAACTTGCTGGCATCATATGTATAGAACTATGTGCGTGTGTGTGTGTGCGTGTGAATGCACACATGTATATATGCACACCAGCGTTTTCTAAGGGAAAAGGGATATTTTAATTAGATTATCAAAGGCATCTATGACATCCCCTCCAAATATAAGAACCACTGATTTATGGTGTTTGTCTATAAACGCACTCAATTAAGAGGATTTTTTAAATATAGGAGGTTACATTTTAAAACTGGCTGAGAATCTGAATAAGAATTGACACCAAAAACAAAAAGCTAGAGAAAATCCTGGAAAGTATTTGAGAATGGGTGGTGATGGCTTTAGTTCTAGTGTTTATATTAAATTGGAAAATTCCTCAGTATCAGATAATACAGTCTTAAGATTAGACATTTAGAAATTAAAACCAAAGAGCATGGTTGAATTACAGACAGAAAGGTACATACACAGGACTCAAGGCTAGTTATTAGAGTTTTTTTAGGACCTAAAAGCATTTTTCAGGAACTAAAAGCTTTCTCAAAGGATCTATGTATGGGTTTCACTCTTACACTAGCCAGCTTTCAGAAGTTCTCTCCTGGGACACTACCATACCTTTCCTATATCCAAGGTAGCACAAAGTCCCTGCAAAATACTTCTCAAGCTAACTCTGAGAAGTTGCACATAGGTGTGTCATAATTAATTACCCGAGAAAGTGCAGAATGCCTTTCTTAGAGGTATCCAGAGAACCAAGACCAAAACCCTAGAGCAGATGCTGGATGCTTAGCTTAGAATAATAATTTTAAAAATCTCCTATGATGCTCCCTTAGAGCACTCTACTGTAGCTCCATACACTGTACATGGTACATAGTAGGTGTTAAATAAGCAGCTATTTTATAATTAATTAACTAATTAATTAAGAACAGGAACTTGGTGAGGCCAATCTCATGAGGTTCCTTTGGGAAGGAATGGGGTTTAGTTGCTGTCATCTAACATCAGAGGTAGTACTGAGTCCGGTGGTTACCTTCCATCTTCATCCACAAATCATCAATCTGAAAGCTCCATTGACGGCAATTACCCATTGGGTAATTTCTCCCAACTATGAGTCACAGAAAGACAGACTGGACATTGTGGCCCCTCTATTAAAATTAACTCCAGGATCAAATAAAGAAGAAATAAGGAAAACTTGATCCATTCAGCTCTTGTTGAGACTGCTCACTAGTTAATATTCTATTTACAATCTACATATTCACAATCTATTGAAGTGCTCTGTGCAAATCAAAGCCATCTCTATGGCTGGTGGGGAATGCAGATGTGTGAACTGCAAGTGCCTCCAGCAAAAGAGTAAATGATGCAATACAGAGGGAGACAAAGGAGCAGTAACTGCATCAACTTCAACAACAGTAGTTACAGTTCACTAAACTCACATCATATGATGGACCCTACTAAGTTACAGCCTTACATGGATCTCCTATCCCTTCTTCTATCAACCCAATGGGGGCAGACCTAGTCTTTGCTCTCCTGCTAAGGCAATTGTACCTATACAGGTTGAGTCAGCTACCCAGGGCAGCATGAGGTAGAATAGTGGGGGGCCAATCTCATCTGCCCCAAAAGTGTCTTTTTTGGACTGTAACAACCCTGTAGACTGTGTGGACACTAGATTTCTAACTCATCACTCATTCTTACTCAGTTAATGTTGGCAATCTATAGAGGTTTGGCTGTCTCAGTCCAAGATTTTGCATTCATTTCCATGATCCCTTTATTGTCCAAGCAGAACCCCCTGCACCGCCAGACCCTGAGGAATGATCATGTTTTAATGTCCCAAGAAGTTTCTATTTAGCTATGTGAGAAAGACAGATAGGGCCCCGCCATAACCTATGTTCTTTACTTGCAGAGAGGGACTTCAGGAAATATCAGGATGTGGAGAGGAAAACCAAGTCAATGAAAGGAAATGGATGGATGGAGGGCTTCCTTGGTGCACCCTCCTGGATAACTATGTTGATGTTGGATACTCCAAGGATCACCGTGGCTCCACAAAAGCTGCCATGGAGGGGCTGTGGGACTTCTTTCCAATCTCTTGGGGAAAAACAATACGGAAACTATATATGGATGTCAGATAAATGACATACTTTTGGTTGGACTTGTAGTAACAAAGTATAGTCATATTGGATACCTGATGAAGAACAGAGGTTTAAGTTGGCAGTTAGATATCTCTTCAATCGGTGACAATAGGAAAATACACTTTTTTCTTAGTAAATGCACTTTGCTAGTCGATGTCTTAGAAAAGATGGGGATCACTGGCTGTGAGGGAGAATGGCAGAATGAGATCTTAGGGTGGGAATTTAGGAAATGACTGGCCATAAATGTGTCCTATAGCTCTTCTCTTTCCTAGAAGCCTTCTCTAAACACCCAAGCCCTTCCTTGTTGCTCACACAACACCCTACCTATCACTTATCACATTTATTGAAATTGTTAGCTCACATGGCAATCTCTGCTCCCAATTGGAAGAAATTCCCCCCAGGGTACCATTTGCCTCAGCGTTCTCAGTGCAAGCCAGAGGAAAAGGGAACCCACCATTTAAGATGCTGGGTTCATACTTTTGCATTCGGAGCCAATGCATTCCAGCCAATTCGTAATCCAGCAAAACGTCCAGGCAACTAGCTGAATTCCCTCCTTTCCACCAGCACTTTGCTCTCAGAGAACTTGCAGACATGGACACACACGCCCCTAGCCCTCTGCCCTTTCTATTCCTCCCATCTTAAGAATTTTATCCTATTACTAAACGTGGGTTCAGAATGCCAGTCGATATTGTCAGCAACAGACAAAATCCATCATTATAAACAAAATAATTAGAAATACCCTGGAATATTCATATTAAATCATGTCCGAAGCAGTCACAAACACATTGGCTCACCATTTGGAGATGCCTCTGTCTCTCCCTGGCAAATGTGGCATTAATTAGTTATGCATGGTCACTCCCCATAGAGAACAAGTTCATTACAAGTTAGCAAATTTCAATTTTACAGCAGGTGTGTTATTCTGAGACTTTTATAAATTGTTCATGTGAGGATAAGCCATATAATTTTACTTTATTTTTTTCTGTTCAATATAGTAGTGAGATAGTGAGAGTACCTATACCAGAAAGCTACAATTACCAGCTACCAAGATAATGATTTTCAGACAAACTAATGGGGTATAAACATGCAATTTTGCATTTATGGCTTATGAATCTTGCTTTAGTAATCACATGAGCCTAGTGGGTAACTGGTTTTGTTTTTCTTCTTCGTAACTCATTATATGACCTTGGGAATAACAAGTCTTTATTTCTGCCTTCCTGGATCTAGAAAATGGGCTTAATACTGTGGGGGCTGAAGATAATAATTGTACTGTCAGTAATTCCTTATATCACATGGTCAGATACACGAGGCTTAGGGCACGAAGGTACATTTTGGAGGGTGGGGAGAATTTAGGGACAATCCATCATTCTAGTACAATTTTTTGTTATTTTTGGTGGTGTCTTGTCCATTAAGAAGCTTGGAATTGACCTAACTCTAATGACAACACCAGAAACAATGGACTTTGCCTTATTTCCCTGCCTTTATTTTCCCTTCCAGATGATTTCATCTGCTTTTATTTCTTTACAGTCTTAACTTTGTCTCACTGCATTTGTTTCCGAAGCACTTCAAATGCTGTCTTTTGCAATAGGTGAGATATAAATAAATATTTCACTCAGTATAATAGAGAGATGATCTAGGCTAATTCTGATTTTCTAAAAGATTTAGAAGCAACAGAGCTATAAAAAAGTGTGTTTAACCCTGCCAGACTTTCATGGGCATTACTGAGTTTTCCTTAGAGCAGAGCTTTTGGTAGGTATCTAGGGCCCTATGACTGGGCGGAGGGGCTGTCCTGTGCAGTGTAGGGTGTTTAGCAGCATCCCCGGCCTCTACCCACTAGATGCCATCACACCTCCCAGCTCCTGTTGTGACAACCACAGATGTCTCCAGATATTCCAAACATCCCTGGAGGACCACTGCCTCAGAGACATTCTCTCTCCCTGACTCTGGGTGTGCAGGAATGTTCTAGAAGAATCTCTTAACAGGAAAGAGAAAGGGTAGCATCTCAAGGTCGTAGCTCACGACACCAGTTCCATTTTTTGTTTTGAGCACTCACCACCATTCCTTGATATGCACTTGGCAATACCAAGGACCACGCACAGAAATACCAAACTGGCAATGGGAGCCTATGGATTTGCATTTCCTTGCAGAGGGGAAACAAAGACAATTGCCATTTTGGAAAATCCAGCTAAAACATGTCTTAATTCCAATTTCAGTGAACTTTTGAATGTTTGCATTGTCTGCACACCTAATTTTCTCTTCCCAGCCAAAGGCTCCTAAACCTTGAAGCTCAGGGTGTCAGGAAGGGGGGCAAGACCACACCAGTGATTTTGATGTTTGAAAACCTCCTGTCCCTCCATGGTCAGATTCAAGGGGCAAATGTGATCCAACCTCCTTAATAACCAGATGTTTGCAATCACCAGAAATACATCTTGGGCTGTAACCATCTCTCTGTTCTCCAGCATTCAGTCTCAAGGAGCATTTCCATAACAACATGTGACATGTAGAATGCTTAAAGGCACCGACCATGACAGGACAAATGACACTCATTTTTCAATACTCTTTGCAAGGTGCTCCATCCACTGCAGGCGCGCCGGGCTGCATGCTGGGCGTTCTGGGGGGCAGTCAAGACAGCATGCGCTCTCGCAAACAGGAGGGGGGTGCAGGAGGCCCGCCCGGGGCCCGGGGGCGGGTCAGCCCCACTTACCCGCCGTAGGCAGGGATGGGAGGCGGGGGCGCCGCGGCCCGGAAGGTGTTGTAGACGGTGCGGCCGCGGCCTCGCAGGTGCGCCCCTCGGTAGGCGGCCGCGGCGGTGGCAGCTGGATACGGAAAGCCGGGCACTGCGGGCGAGAGGAGAGAGCAAGGCAGGGTGTTCAGAGGCACCCCCTACCAGGGAGGGGACCCAGGCTGGACGCCGGCCCCCCACTCCCCCCGCCACACACACACTTCCAGGAGCCAGGGGTGGAGGCCAAGGCCAAGGTCTGATTCCAGAGAGGATGGGCTAGTTAAGGCGGTGGTCCCCGTGCCCGAGAGAATGTGCTCAGTGGAAAACATTGACAAAGAATTCTTGAAAGTGGGGTTAAAGCTTACTGCACTTTTTTTAAGGTGGGTTGCAATATCATGTGCAATGTGTTCTCAACACTTGTGTGTGCATCCATCCATTATTCCATCCATCCATCCATCCACCCACCCATCCATCCATCCATCCATCCATTATTCCATCCATCCATCCATCCACCTACCCATCCGNCCCATCCATCCATCCATCCATCCATTATTCCATCCATCCATCCATCCACCCACCCATCCGATATCCATCCATCCATCCACCCACCCATCCATCCATCCATCCATCCATCCACCCATCCATCCATCCATCCATCCATCCATCCATCCATCCACCCATCCATCCATCCATCCATCCACCCACATACATACATATACACACACATGTCTAGTGTGTAATATATATTTATATATGTGTCTGAGCATACAATATATATGTATGTATGCATGTGCGTGTATATGCATCTGTGGATGTGTAAGTCAATATGTCTACATTGTGTGAAAACAACATACATGTGTATGTATGTGCAGGTGTACATGCATATGTGACTGTATGCATACACATATTTATATTCGTGTGTATATAATTATATATACAAATACCCGCATATTTCAGTGTGTTCATACCTATCTCCGGGACTGACTGCATGGATGTTCGTTGTCTGATCACAGCTTTTCGCCATACCATTTTTGGTTATTTCCCACATTTTCCTTTATGTACATATATTGCTTTTTAAAAGCTGTGCTCTGAACTACAGTGTTTCTACAGACATGTGTATGCATCTTCAGTGTACATACGCCTCATGCTCCAAGAAACAAATCATTCCCAAAGTCCCATCAGCCCCCTAACCATTTGTGCAGCTTATAAAACACAACAACAGCAATGGCAGAGAATTCTGGGAACTTAACTCTCAGGGAGTGGGTGAGGGGTGGAAGGGGTCAATGGGAAAAAGGGGGACATCTGTAATACTTTCAACAGTAAAGATAAATTTTAAAAAAAGAGAGAGAGAGAGAGAGAGAGTGGGCAGAGTTTTCTTCCCTGGGGGGAAATTCTCTGAGCAGGATAACTTGGTGAGGGGCCAAGAGGGAAATTAAGCATGATGTTTAAGACCCCTGATAATTAACTCTGTTGCCTCTGCCTGGGATGTCCTTCCACCCGCAGCATGCAAATCCTAACCCAGGAGGCCTTCAGGGAGCTGCTTCTGCCTCCCGGCTCCTTCCGCTTCTCTGAATCCCCCAGAGCTCTCACCATGCGTCCCACACTTGTCCCATCCCATTAAACACCGGGCAGTGTTGCCCAAGCCCCAGCGCATGGAGGGGACGCTTTTCTGGGAAACCGCTGGCCCAGCAGATCTATACTGAACGCTCAGAAAGCCCTACGGTGAGGGAAGCACTTTAACGGAGTTAGCCCAGCTCGCCCGAACATTTACCGGGCACTCTATTTTGTGGAACACCCACCCTTTCTGCTGTTCATTTTGAGAAGAGGAAAGTCAATCACTTGTTAGGTTTATCTCTCCAATTAGTCTGTAAGCTCCTTGGGGCCTCCCTCCATCTCTCATTCATCTTTGCCCCTCCTCCTGCCTCCCCAAGTCAACAACAGGAGCCCCCCAGTTTTATCCACGGTACATTCTAAATACTGGGCACTGCAAGGAATGCACTGATGATGTCACCACATGACCAGGTGGATGAAGCTGTGGGCTGCGGTCCAGCCAAATGATGGGCACACTGTCCAGCAAACCCCCTCTCCTGGCCCCATGTTCCTCTCTGATCCCGCCAACCTAACAGGAGCTTGGAGGATTTCCAGGGAGAGCAAGGCAGGTGAGAGGAGCCAGGGTGAAGTGGGTCTCCTCCCCCTCCACAGCCCTCCATCCCGCTCCACCTCCCTGGGGTTTCACACAAGGTTGTTGTGACCTGCAAGGCTGGGAGGGCACCGAGTTTCTCTTGACGCGACATAAATGCTGGGAAAGGCCTTGTGGCCAAGGCAGCTCTTTTACTTCGTTAACTCAACACACCCACACTTCAGCCTTCCAGGAACTCTACTTTGTGAAACCCCTCACCGCTCAGGGTGTTGTATTTCCTGTTGTGCCAAAGTGGTCTCCACTCTGTCTCCAAACTGCCAAGAGGAGCAGAAGCACTCCAGGCCATCTGGTCCCTCTCCTCCCAGCCCTCGGGCAGTACGTCTGTGCCGCATGGTGGAGGCAGGGGGCAGGGGGCAGGGAGTGGAGAGGACATCCCCCAGAAGCCACCCTCAACTCTAGACCACCCGATGCAACTGCACGGATTGGACTCTAACCCTTGGACCTGAAGGGAAGACGGCCTGGCTGTCACTGGGATTCTCTGTGTGCTCCTGACAGTGAGCAACGGCCTGTTTCACGGATTCTACCAGGTCCTCCCACGAGCAGGGTAAAACGCTGGGATTGGTGCGCAAGCCAGAATGATTTCATCTTTCTATTTGTGTCTGAGGAGGCCATACCGGCTATGGGTAACCTTCTTTTTTATTGGTAAAAACAAATTGTGCAGCTGTACTTAACTCTCAGCCTGCCAGCCCCCAGCGCTCACATTTCCTGGCTGCGGTTTTAAATAATTGTGCTTGACATCGTGGAGAGGTGTCAGTCTTAACAGGGAAAGTGGTAAATTCTAATATCACAAAAGCCCAGGAGTAATGAGATATGAGATGTTTGCTTCAGGACCGGGGAGAAAATGAGTGAGCGGGGCTTTGACTCCGACTCTGTCTCGCCACAGTTCAAATATTAAGTTTTCATTGGAACGCCCTGGATTTTGAAATAGAGAAAATGAAAAATTCACAATCTGGCAGAGCAGCTGGCTGCCAGTGTGAGAAAACACGGTAATTATGCTGACCCATTCATTATCGCCGGCTACAGTGCGGAGCGAGAGACAAGATCCCTCTCAGCGACAAGCAGGGCTTACAATAATTCTTGGAAGATTTAGATGTTGGGAGATAACATGAAACAGAAGCTCGGCAGTGGAGAGAGGGGAGCACAGGCTGCTAAAGTGCAGAGCCAGGGTTCCCCTTGCACCCTGTTTGCTACAGAGAGAAAATGTCCTTCCCGACCCAGGGTAAGGCACTTATGGGTCTTAATATAAGTCTCTTTGGGCTTCTCTACACAGAGCAAATTAAAGGGGTTCTTATTTTGTTAAAGGAACACAGGGAAGGAGACAAATAAATATCACCTTCTGGGGAGGCCAGGTCCCCTTAGGTAAAATAAGGTGATTCCATAGATCATGTTTTGGACCAGAAGCTTCATGGAGAAAACAGGTGAGTCTCCCAGGCGGATGGTTTGCTCAGCTCTCTTTCCTGTTGCCAGTCTAGGGCTGGCCAAGGGGCCTCTTAGTCTCTAGTTAGTCATCATGACTAACAAGCATTTCCTTCCTTCTTATTCCAGATCCTCCCTTCCAGCTCTTTCCTTCCTTCCTCTCTTTATTTTTTAATCTCCTTCTGGACAAGGCTGCCATGAACCTCCCCTGGGGTACAGGAAGTCCTCAACATCATCCATAGGTTCTGCGACTAAGCAAGATGACATACAGTATCACAAAACCCATTTTAGGACAGGGTAATTGATATACACAAGATTTAAGTTCCTACTGAACCTCATCAACATTATTACAAACATTATTAGCAGTCAAGCAGCTTGGATCCCAGGATTGAAGGACTCGCTGTTGCTGGAATGAATGAAAGCTCTGTGAGGACAGTGATCTCCTCTGCTCTACTCGCTGATTTATAGGATTGCCTGGTGCAAAGCAACTATCAGATACTTGAGATTGTGCCTGGACACCTTTGGGTGGTTGCACAATGCCAGTCTCCTTCTTTCTACCTCTTTACCTTCCATCTTTCTATACAACGTGTCCTGCTCAGGTTCTCCAGGCAAAACAGTATGCTAATGACACAATTGGATCTGAATCACGATCCTTATAAAAATAATTGCTGCCCCCATACTTCTAGGTGCTCTATTGGCCCAGAAATAGCAACCAGACTTGGAATATCTTTGATTCTGATAAAAAGGGAGACAAGTCGGATATATGTATTGGACTTGGTATTATTGCAAACCCTCAACTCATTTAAATTCACTTCTCTTGCTGCAGTGTCAGGATTTGAAGATCAGTTTCCTCTTCTGGAAAAAGGGCTTAAACGTTTCTTTCAGGCAGGTGACACCTATTAAAAGTCTCCCCCTTCAGATAGCCTAGACAATGCTTCCTGGAAGCCCAGCAAATCACAGTCTCCGAATGCAATAAATCTGTGCAACAAGGAACAACAGAAAATAACAATATTTAGAATCCTTAACTTGTCTTATTTGTAGCTGTGCCTCTTATGTGCCTCCCCACCTCCATTAGAGGGTGTCCCCAATGGCTAGCTTCAGATAGCACGGCTCTATTCTCCTCCCACTTAGACACATAGTCAATTTCAAGGGCAAAAAAGCCACAACGGTTTGTCAAGCTTCCTTTAGACTCAACATGGGATGGAACTACATTTTTATTCACTTGCCCACCAGGCATGCTGGCTTGTAGATGCTGGGACATGGTTAACTGTGCCTCTGAAGCAAATACTTGAATACATGATTCAGATACAGATTAAACAAAACCAAAATGGCTTTGTCCTTGGACCTTCTGGAAGGAGGCATCTTGTGATGCACGCACTTGGTGGCGTGACACTTATCTTTTGTTGAGTGGAAGTTATCATGTCATNAAATGGCTTTGCCCTTGGACCTTCTGGAAGGAGGCATCTTGTGATGCACTTACTTGGTGGTGTGACACTTAT